AGCAGAGCCAGTCCTGTGGGGACCCGAGGGTGGCTCAGGCTGCTTTCCCCTGGCTCTGTGTGTGTCCTGGCCATACCCAGCCTGCCCAGAGCACCTAAAGGAGAGGCTCAGTGTGTTTGCAGGCTGGCAGGGCAGCACTAGCCCTGGCTGATGGTCTGCTAGCCACAGAGCAGCTGGCCCAGCCCAGCTCAGGCTGTGGGATGTGCTGACTGCCAGACCTTGCGGTGAGGTGAGATCACCGCCAACAAAATGATCATTACAGGCCATTCATGTCAGAGCGTTCATGCTTCTCTGTTTGCTTGCAAGCAAAACCAGCAGCTAATTTGCAAGGCAGCCTTTTGTCCCAGGGCCTTTGATCAATGCTGGCCTGTGTTAATGTTTCAGGAGGCTATTGATTTCTGCAGCAGCTTTTGTTCCTGAATTTATGTGCCCTGGCTTTCAGCAGCACGCACTGTGCATGTTTGATTAAAGCTCATTTGACTTCCTTGCAGTGAGGCTGGAAGCTGTTTTTGCTCCCTGTTTGAAGAACCAAAGCTTTCCTGACTTAGTCCTTTGTGCTCCAGCCTGTGCCACCCATGCAGGCACCAGGATGGTGGCTCTAATCCTGCCAGGCTGGGCTCATCCAGAGTTAATCCCCTGGGCAGACAGTGGCATCCTGGAGAGCCAGGTGGATGATCAGATCTTGCATTGGGTTTTTTTCTGTGGGGTACCTATGTGTGAGCTTGAGCTCTGTGTCTGCTCCCCCTCTGACTTCCAGCTTTGCTGAGTGCTGAACTCGTGCAGTCCAATGATGAATTGGAAGTACAGAATATTCTTTAGTCCTTCAATCTGTCCACATTTCCTAGTTGGGCTAAAACCAGTTGTTGAATGAGTAGACTTTGCCTTCATCTTCATCTGTGTGCAGTTGTGAGTGCACTTCTGAGTGAGTCTCAGGGGGGAAAAGCATTGTGCTCATGAATTTGGCATTTCCTGGAAAGATACACCATTTCTTTTTGGAAGTTTGGTTTATGATACAGTGCATGTATAAGTTGTTAAACTTCCCCWGGGACCTGATGCCTTTGCAGTGTGTAAATGGAGCTCTAACAGGTTCCCATTCCCTATTTTATGATGGGAGAACAGATYGGTTTGTACTCTGCTGTTGCCATGTGTCAGAGGACACATTAATTCACTGACATAAAGACAYGGGATTTACTGATCTGCTCCTTGGTGCTGACGCCTCAGATTTGATACAAATGAATTTATAGGTAAGAAATGAGTGATTTCATTTGCAGGAGACTTTTCTGCCTGTGCAGAGCATTGCAAAAGCTTCCCTGCAGAGCCCAGCCTGGCTCCTGGCACAGGCATATCCCCAAGTGGACAAACAGTTGGGCTGGGTGGACTTTGAGCCCACTTAATGGGCTCAGGGAAATGGTATTTCCAAAGCAAACACGTGCAGGGAGCAGGCAGGAGCAGAGCAGGGTGCTGGGCTCAGAAATCCTGCTCTGCCATGGCTTGGGTGCTCATCCCCAGCCAGGTTCAGATTCTCATCAGGAAATGCAATTTTTAATATTTTAGCAGGGTTTTTATCCTTCAGAATTAAGAATTGTAGGTAATGTTTTGCTCACTTGTTCCTCCTCACCAACCATCACTCTAAATACTTGTTATTTTAATGTATAATGCAGGAATATTGTTCAGGTGCATGGTGGGGATCAGGAGCATCATCGCAGTCTGTGGCAGCACAGATTAAAAACGATCTGTTCTGCCTGCTGCCAGAAATCACCCTTGTGGTTGTGTTCTTTCTTCTGGGGTTTCTATTTTTAAATTAGGAATCGGTAGAATTCTAAAGTGTCTTAAATGTCAGCAGTTAATGTCTAGAACAACATCCTCCCTTTGTCTTTGGAGTGTTTCAGTGGTGCAGGTATTGGTTGTGGCTGTAATTGCTTGTTTGGGGCCCTGGGGAGGGTTTGGATTCAGGCAGGGTCGTTATTGGAGTTAACTCCTGCTCTGCCCGGAGCAGGGGCTGCAGGATTTCCCCACGGAGGCAGCAGGCTGAGCTTATTTGATCACATAAAACACAGTTCAAAGAAACCCTTTTTGTGGGCAATTCAGGTATGTTTGTTCTGATGTTGATTTTTTTTCAAGGGGCTGGTTAGAACTTCCCCGTTTTTCTCTTGCAACTTGAAAGCAACAACACCTTTTACCTTAGAGGCAGACAAGTCGCCAGGAAATGATGGGGTTTCAAAGTAAGAGAAAAGAGATTAAAACCACATGCTGTTCTTTGGTTCAGCATTGCATCCACAGGTTTGAATGGCAGCTGCTCCACTCCTTGAATGCAAGCCAGATTCATTATGCTGTGAAATTATCACTCATTTCTCTAGGTGTGCTCTTTTAACTGCTTAATTAATTTAGATGTGGGTATATATATTCAAATTAAAACACGATTTAGTGTGCTAGGGTTGTGTTACGGTTATAGACTTGTTGTTKAACATGTTTTTACTCAAACTTTCAGCTCCTTACGCAGGAATATTGAAAAATACCACTTTGTGGAATGTAGGCTGACAAAATGGCAGAGTGTGTTTGGGTTGGGGTGGTTGTGTCTGTGAACAGAGGGGCTGGGGCAGCTTTGGGGTGGTGTCACAGGGTGCTGACAGTGGCACAAGGGCACCCTCTTCCGAAGCACTGGCACCAGCAGCATCCTGGAGGAGCTGGAAACTTCCCAACCTCCTTCCTCTCCTAGGGGAGGAGTCAAAAAGCATTTATTTACTTTCTTCCCTCCTCTGCAAAAGCAGGCAAAAAAAATAATGAGGATTTTTTTGTGTGTGTCTTACCTGAATAATTCTTCTTTCTGGCAGAAACACATAATGATTCTTCCTAGAAAAAATCCACATGTGCATACAGAGAGACAGGGCAGGCAGCGAGCTGCCAAGTCACATTTGCACGTCCCTCTAACATGCTCCTCCTGTGTTTGCAGGGAGAACTCATCACCTTCTATTACTACTGGAAGAAAACTCCCGAAGCGGCGAGCTCGCGCGCGCACCGGCGGCACCGCAGGCAGGCAGTGTTCCGCAGGATCAAAACCCGCACCGCCTCCACGCCGGTCAACACTCCCTCCAGGCCCCCCTCCAGCGAGTTCTGTGAGTGCTCAACGCTGCTTTGGGCTCTGTTCAGGTGCAGGGAGCAGTGGGAACAGTGCTGGTGCTGCTGCTCCTCCCAGGGAGCAGAAGGAAATGGAGTTCAGGCTGCTGCCCTCTCCATCTCCCGCACCATTATGCTGGAATGTGGAAGGCAGCTTTGATCACCCAGGGCTTTGTGCAGTCCTTAAACATAAAAGCTTCCTGTAAGGATGGAAATGCTGCCCTGGGATTGGATTTCTGGGTGTTGTGTTGTATTTTCTCCAGGCTTATTACAGTAAAATGGGCATTAAGAACCACAGAAAGAAGGAAATCCTCCATCCCTTTGGAAGGAAGGCTCTTCCATCCTTCTGGGTGATCCCTGCYTTCTGCAGCCAGCACTGTACCCTCAGGAGTCTTGGAAGAACATTGGCCTTGCCTGGAGCAGTGTCTAAACCAAGATTAACTCCCCAAAGACATGCTGCGTTGCCCGGGGTCCATGTGGGCATAGAAACCTTAGTCCATGTGAGAAGGGTTTGTTATCCTGTGAGGTTTAAGGGTTTCCAAGCCCTTGTGCCTCATAAAGAAAAGGGACTGTGGAAGGCAGAAATGGCCAGATTTAAAAATGAATTTGGGCAGGTGCAGGATGTGGTAAGAAGGCAGGACACAGAATTGTGGCCAGGGTGGCAGGGAGGGGTAGGGCTGGTGGCTTTTCCTGCTCAACAGGCAGGATTTATTATCCATCTCTGTGCACAAGGAGTGAGGATCTGCACTCCACAGCTCAGTCCAACAAACTCAGCACGTCCAAGAGCTGGGAGAGCCCATCCTTACAGATCTGACTGCAGGACGAGAATAAAAATTCATTTAGTGAAAGAAAGCAAGTGCTAGCCTGGGGTCAGCTCTGCAGTCAGGGTTTGAACACCTGCAAGTATTAATGTAGGAATTATGGTAGGGGTGGYTATTAAATGTAACCCTGTGTTAATTTGAAGGGTAACGAGTTTGCTGACAAATGCTGATGGCAAGTACTGTAGAATCTGTAAGCTTGGATGCATAAACTGTAACCTGCATGTACAAACATCCTTTAGAAAAAAYAGTATTTCTGCATCAAGGACTTCTCTTCTAATTAAAGATTCGAACAGAAGAAGCCAGAGGGCTTCCTGCTTGTGACAAATTACAGCCCTGTTACGTTGTGTATTTATAGTGGTGGACTAGAAAAATGCAGTGCTCTCAAAAGGGAAGTATTTACTCCTGAGGTGTTTAGAAGATAAGATACAGTTTTGTGATGTCTGCATATTTTCAGCGGTTTAGATGCAGCTTTTGAGCTCACAAATGTGTAATCAGCTACTTTGCCACAAAGGAAAGGGACCCTTTGCATATCCTCTTGTTCAAAACATGACATTTTTGCAATGTGGGATGAAGCTTTGAGCCCTGCAGTAAGGATTGGAAAGCTGGTGTTATCCTTCAGTGCCTCTCATCCAAAACAATCACAACATGTTTTTCAAACAGGTCCAYTGTATGTAAGCATTGATTCCTCCACCCACAAACACCTGTACKGCTGGCTAACAAAATAAAAACCAGGAAAACCACCACAGGATCTTTTCATGGAATCTTGTAGAGTRGGTTTTAAATATAGAATATTTGATTATAAGTTTGATCAGGTTCTAAGATAAACCTCCTTTCTCTTGAAAATGTTGGGTTTGGAACATGGCCTCTAACTCACCATGGATGGGATTTGGATGACAGCTTACCTGGAAATGTACCATTGCTGATTSAGAGGTTCCAGGAGTTGTATCCCTTGGCACATTCCTGGAATCCTCCCTCCCTTAACGTGCAGACTGATGAGGTCTGGTCTTGTTCAGTTTGAAAAATCAGAAATAATGGCCTGGAAAGGCAGGGTGGGTGTAGGGGGTCACGATCTCTTTTGCTTAATGGTTATTTTAGCCAAGTAGGAGGAAATAGAAAATCCTGCTGAGTGTTTATTTTCCATTTTCCTTTTTCCCTTGTCCTCCCACCCTCAGTGGATCTGAGCTCGGCCAGTGAAGATGATTTTGACAGCGAGGACAGYGAGCAGGAGCTGAAGGGCTACGCCTGTCGCCACTGCTTCACCACCAGTAGGTCCCAGTCCCTTCACCAGTATGTCCCAGTCCCTGCTGGGCTGTGGCTGCAGTCAGCACCAGCAGCTCCTGTGCTGTTCCCAACCATGGGGGTGAATCAGCTGAAATAGCAGCGTTCCTAACAGAGTTAATCAGGCTTTGCCATTGCAAATTAATATTGCAGTGACAAAGGAGAACCCTGGGGTAGACATTTCTACAGGAATAAATCTGCATAATCCATAATCTATGTAATCAATTTGTGACATAATGAATCAGTGTTGGGCTGTGACTGTCACACACAAAACTGCTTTGTGCTGCACCAAATCTCTCATGCGTCAGCCCCGCTCCTGTGGCTGCTCCTGAAGGTTGTCTGACGTATGGGCATGTGCACAGATAGAAGTGGGAGCCCCAGAATGGGGAAGGAAATGAGAGCTTCAGAGCTCACTTCTCTTGCAGAAACCACAGAGGAACAGCTGCCTGTTAGCTCCCAGGTAGAGCAGACGAGGCCTTTTCTGTGCCTCAAAACTAGTTTCTTAAAACAAATAACCACAGTTTGTAAACTGAGTGTTGAGGATGTGCACTGGAGCAGGAGGAAGTTTTCCAAAAACTTCTCCATCTTTGTTACCTGTAACAAAGCAGCTGCTTTTGTGACTGTAGCTTTTTWAATGACTCCCTGTGTTTGTGCTGTGTGTGGTGCTGAGTGTTGCTTTTCCTGCCCAAAGCCTCCAAGGACTGGCACCACGGCGGCCGAGAGAACATCCTGCTGTGCACCGACTGTCGCATTCACTTCAAGAAGTACGGGGAGCTGCCGCCCATCGAGAAGCCCGTGGAYCCCCCTCCCTTTATGTTCAAGCCCGTGAAAGAGGAAGATGATGGCCTCAGTGGGAAGCATAGCATGAGGACACGGCGGAGTCGAGGCTCGGTGGGTTTAACCCTCTGATGCAGGGGGAAAGGAGCCAGACTCAAACTGGCTGGTTTGTCATGGGCTGTGCCTGCTTATGCTCTGTTTGTGAGTGGGGTTTGTTGAGGCTTTCTTTGGGAAAATGAGATGGAATATCTCTGCAAGGCCTGTTATTCCTGTGTTTGTGATGCTGCCAGTGGACTGTCATCCTGAGGGCAGTGTATTGCAGATCCTGGGCTAGTACGTGTCCTCCTTCCAGCTGCATCCTGTCACAGTTCAACCCTCAGAAAGAGCTTTAAAAAATGAGATGCTGTTCCTGTGGTCTCCTCATGTTACTGGAGTTGAGTCTCTTCCCTGCAGAGAGCTCTGGTTTGCCTCTCTTGGTGTGCTCTGTCACTGAGCTGTTCCTGGCATGAGGTGCCAGGAGCCTTCCTGGGAGCTTGTGAGGGTTCTGGCAGAGCTCGGGCTCATTTGATCTTGGAGTTGGGTTTAGCWGATAGAAAGCAGCAGACAGATTCCTTTCCTTGCCCTCCCGTCTCTGACCATGGATTCTAAATATCTCGTGAGGCTCCGCTCTTGGGGAGTGTTGGCTCCATTGCTTTTTAGGTAGCCAGTCATCCAAAAATCTGCCAAAATGGCAGGGAAACAGCATTAATTATTGAAATGTACTCTGCTGTGATCCCTTATTTCCCACACTGGGGCTGGGGTTTAGACCCTGCYCTTGGCTCTGGCATGCCAACAGATGGACTGTTGTAAATGGAGCACGGGGTCCCCTCCTGCCTCAGGCACCCCTGTGTGTGCTGTGTRTTGGAACATCTTCTGATGTCATTGCTAACACACTGCTAATTAAACAATCAGCACTGAGTGTTTCTGAGTAATCAGATGAAGGATTTGCCTGCTTTTACATTTGAGTCCAGTTGAGCTTTGAAGGAAAAAGTACAACAAGGTGAAATGCTCCAGGTTTTTGCTCTCGGGCTCATTCAGGAGTGTGTTAGCTCTGATTTTAATTAAAAATAATTGTGGAGAAAGGGAAAAAATTCCTGATTAATTCCCAAATTTTTTCCTATTAATTTCTGATTGATTGCCAATTAATTCCTGATTGTTTCCCGATTAGTTCCCGATTATTTTTGGGTTATTTTCTAGTTAATTCCCGATAATTCCAGATTAATTCCTGATTATTTCCCGATTAATTTCTGATTATTTTCCAATTATTTACCGATTAATTCCCGATTATTTCCTATTAATTTCTGATTATTTTCCAATCAATTCCCGATAATTCCAGATTAATTCCCGATTATTTCCTGATCAATTTCTGGTTATTTTCCAATTAATTCCCAATAATTCCAGATTAATTCCCGATTATTTCCCGATTAATTTGTGATTATTTCCCAATAATTCCCGATGAATTTCCCATTAATTCCCTGACCTCTTGGGGCACTCTGAGCAGCTCTGAGCTGTGTGTGTTCCCCCAGATGTCGACCCTACGCAGTGGCAGGAAGAAGCAGGCTGCCAGCCCCGATGGCAGAGCCTCCCCCATCGCTGAGGACGTTCGCTCCAGCGGCCGCAACTCGCCCAGCGCCGCCAGCACCTCCAGCAACGACAGCAAAGCTGAGTCCGTCAAAAAATCCACCAAGGTAACGCTTTCCTGGCCTCTGGGCAGGTTCAGGAGGTGCAGATATCACGGGGAATGGCTCTGACCCACAGAGTCCTGAGTGTGTGGATTTGGGGCAGCCCAGAGGGAGGGATGCAGGGATCAATCTGTTCAAGTACCCCGTGTAACCTTTCTGCTCTCACGAGAAATTAATCCCTCCATTTCGGATGCAAATGCAAGCATTAAGCTCAGGGGAGTAATGCAGATCAGAAATAYGCTGTATTTGAGGCAAGTAGACAGTTTTGGGGATTTTTTTTTAAGTAGTGCTTAATCTTTGTTTACAAAGGAATGTGAGCATTTAGTAATTGAGTCTTACTTCTGTTTCTCTGGAGGTGTATTTGCTTGATTGTTCAGAGCAAGCTGACAGTTGAGTCTGTTTAAATGAATTTAGTGACTTTCCAAAAGTATTCTAAARAATCAAAGCCAGGAAGGCTTACCATTAAGCAGTGTGAATTGAAAAGCAGCAAGTTAAAAATAAATATTACCACAAAAAAAAAAAAGTCAAAACTGGAGTACGGAGCAAGTTTTCACATTATAAAAGTGAAAGTTGGCAGAATTTGAAGTTAGGTGATTATGTGATGCATAGAGCTGTTCCAGGCCRTGGAAGAAGGTAGTAATCTCAGAATAGCTATTCACTGTTAGCCCTGTATTTGAGGGGATCTAAAAATACTCCTCTCAAAATATCAAGAGTACAGCAAGACTTTAATGTAGCAGAAAGGGGCTTATCCTGTGCCTGTCTCCTGCAGAAATCCTTGCTCCATCTTGCACCAGTTAATAACTGGTSTTGGTCTCTGTTAGAAGGGTAACCCAGGTCAGGTATCTGCTGTGAGTTCCTGATGGACTCGGTCCTGCTCAGCTCTGTTTGAAATACCCCTTGAGATGAAGAATGCTTTATTCATTCTTCCTTTTTCGTACCAGCTTGGTTTGTGCTGGATTGTTCTTAAATACCTCAATTTCTGAGTTCATTTTCTTAATTCATGTTAAACATGGTGCACTGGCATACATTCAACTTGTTTTTGCATTTACACCACTGGTGACTGTTGTGTTCTGGTTCCTTTGGGGCAGAAGATAAAAGAAGAGGTGTCTTCTCCTCTCAAGAACTCCAAGAGGCAGCGGGAAAAGGCAGCATCTGACACAGAAGAGCCTGACAGATCCAATGCCAAAAAATCCAAAACCCAAGTGAGTCCCACAGAGGAATATTTTGTCTTAGGAGAATGGTTTGAGATKGGGAGGGGATGCAAATCTGGTAACAAACCAAAAACATGAGATCAGTTTAAGCCACAGCAAATTGTAACCTAATCTGTGGCTGGAAAGCGACCAATGTTATAATGTGTTCCTTCTGCTGAAAACAGTGGGATGATATGGGGTAAGTCCAGAAGTTGGGTTTTTTTTTCTTTTAATATCAATATCAACCATACAAGAGTACATTTGGGTTATTTTCCACCCCTTTCCTCCATTTTTTTAAAATTTAAATAGGGTTTCTTGTCTTCTGTGACAAGTTAGAAGACCCCCACTGGAGTTGTGCCAGGACRAATCTTTTCCATTGCTGGTCACCYTCACAGTGAGAAGTGTTTCAGTGTGTTCAGCAGGACTCCCCTGTGTTTCAGTTTGTTCCTTTGGCCCCTGGGYACTGTGGAAAGGAGCCTGGCCATGCTGTGTTGGCACCTCCCATGGGTATTTGTGTTTCTGTGCTGGTTTGGGCCCTGTGGGGTGCAGAGGGTACCCACAGCCGTGTCTGCACAGCGAGTGTGATGGATGCCATCCTGTGGCGCTCTGGGATGTCTCAGTGCAGCTTCCCCAGGCCCAGCAGTCACTGTCACTGTCCCTGTCCCCACAGGAGATCAGCCGGCCAAACTCGCCCTCGGAGGGAGAGGGTGAAGGCGAGAGCTCCGACAGCCGCAGCGTCAACGACGAGGGGAGCAGCGACCCCAAGGACATCGACCAGGACAACAGGAGCACGTCCCCCAGCATCCCCAGCCCCCAGGACAATGAGAGCGACTCGGATTCCTCCGCTCAGCAGCAAGTGCTGCAGGCACAGCCGCAGGCGCTGCCGGCCCCGGGTGGCTCTGCCCAGGCCACTGCTGCCACCACGCCGCCGGTGCCAGCCCCGCTGCCCGCGCTGCCACCCGCCTCCAGTGCCACCCCGGCCCCCGCGCAGGTGTCACCGCCGGCGTCCCAGCCCTCGGGGCAGCCTCAGCCCCCCGCAGCATCCGCCCCTCACTCGCACATCCAGCAGGCCCCCGCTCTGCACCCGCAGAGGCTGCCATCGCCCCACCCGCCCCTGCAGCCGCTGAGCGTGGGGCAGAGCCAGCCCGCGGCCACCCCGGCACAGCCCCCGCTGCACGGCCCGGCACAGCCCGGCCCGCACGCTCTGCAGGCCCAGCCCCTGCTGCCTCACACCAGCCCTGCCCAGCCCTTCTCCCTGCCCGCCCCGGCCTCTCAGTCTCAGGTGCCCCTCCAGACTCAAGCCCCGTCGCACTCGCACTCGGCGCTGCAGGTGTCGCAGCCCGTCCTGCCCGGCACGGCCTCGCTGCAGCCGGCGCAGCCCCCGCGGGAGCAGCCGCTGCCCCCCGCCCCCATGGCCATGCCTCACATCAAACCTCCCCCCACCACCCCCATCCCGCAGCTCCCCACTGCTCCTGCCCACAAACACCCTCCCCATCTCTCTGGCCCGTCCCCGTTCTCCATGAACTCCAACTTGCCTCCGCCGCCCGCTCTGAAACCTCTGAGCTCGCTGTCCACTCACCACCCYCCATCTGCACACCCTCCTCCCCTGCAGCTGATGCCCCAGAGCCAGCCGCTGCAGTCATCGCAAGCTCAGCCTCCTGTTCTGACCCAGAGCCAGAGCCTTCCTCCTCCTGCTAGCCACCCTCCCTCTGGGCTCCATCMGGTACCCTCGCAGCCCCCCTTCTCTCAGCACCCCTTCGTGCCCGGGGGCCCACCTTCCATCACGCCTCCTTCGTGCCCCTCCACCTCCACGCCGCCCACCGTGCCTGGCATCCCTCTSCAGACTCCCATCTCCACGTCAGCAGCTTCGAGTGGCACGGTGCCCGTGGTGACAGCCTGCACGCTGCCACCCATCCAGATCAAGGAGGAGGTCCCAGATGAAGCAGAGGAGCCCGAGAGCCCTCCACCTCCACCCAGGAGTCCATCCCCAGAGCCCACGGTGGTGGATATCCCGAGYCACGCCAGTCAGTCAGCCAGGTATGGAGCTTTGGTCAGTGCTCTGCTTCCTCTGTTTTTATATTCCACTATCTGTGGACAATATGGTACAAATAATTTTCTTCTGGCTTCCAGGGAAGCTGGTATTATTTTATTTAAGTGTAGTGGCATTTTTTATTTTGGACATAGAGCTCCCAGATTCTTGCATCTTTCCCAGGCTGAGCTCTTTCTCATGTGTTCCTTTCAGGTTCTATAAGCAYCTGGACCGTGGCTACAATTCCTGCTCCAGGGCAGACCTGTACTTCATGCCTCTGGCAGGATCCAAACTGGCCAAGAAGAGAGAAGAGGCCATCGAAAAGGCCAAAAGGGAAGCRGAGCAGAAAGCCAGGGAAGAGAGGGAAAGAGAAAAAGAAAAAGAGAAGGAAAGAGAGAGGGARCGTGAGCGTGAGAGAGAAGCGGAAAGAGCTGCGGTAGGTGCAGTTGTGGCTCAGAGCAGTGGGAGGGAATTKATGGCTGGGCCTSASCTGGATGGTGACTGCARGGTGCAGGGCCCCWGGAGCACTTTGATCCCATGCAGTCRGGGSTCTGAGTGTGGGGCTGTGTGTATGGACTGAAACCCAGCCTGCTCWGAGCACCTCCAGCCTGCCTGGAACTGTCCCTTGCAGGAAATGGAGAATCTCTGCCCCTGGTGTGGTTCTGTGGGAAGCCAGGGCAGCTGGGGAGAGCTCAGCCAAGTGGTGACATTCACTCACAACAGGAGAGCCCTGTGCAGATACAGGGGATGCTTTTGTGTCCCTTGCACTCTGTGCAGGCACACGAGTGCTGTCCCCAGCCCTGTGCAGATACAGGGGATGCTTTTGTGTCCCTTGCACTCTGTGCAGGCACACAAGTGCTATCCCCTGCAGGAAGGGCTGGAAGCAGAGGGAGGGCTGGCTGTGTCTGAGGCGCTCTTTGCCATGCTGATGTGAGATCCTGTCCCTTTGTGTGCAGCAGAAGGTGTCCAGCTCGTCCCACGAGGGCCGTCTCGGCGAGTCCCAGCTCAGCGGGCCGGCCCACATGAGACCCTCCTTCGAGCCCCCTCCGACCACCATCGCGGCCGTGCCGCCGTACATCGGGCCGGACACGCCGGCGCTGCGGACGCTGAGCGAGTACGCGCGGCCCCACGTCATGTCCCCGACCAACCGCAACCACCCCTTCTTCGTGCCCCTGAACCCCACGGATCCTYTGCTGGCTTACCACATGCCCGGCCTCTACAACGTGGACCCCACCATCCGCGAGCGGGAGCTGCGCGAGCGCGAGATCCGCGAGCGGGAGATCCGCGAGCGGGAGCTGAGGGAGAGGATGAAGCCCGGCTTCGAGGTGAARCCCCCGGAGCTGGACGCGCTGCACCCGGCCACCAACCCCATGGAGCATTTCGCCAGGCACGGGGCACTGACTATCCCACCCACGGCGGGGCCTCACCCCTTCGCCTCCTTCCACCCGGGCCTGAACCCTCTGGAGAGGGAGAGACTGGCGCTGGCGGGGCCGCAGCTGCGGCCGGAGATGAGTTACCCGGACAGGCTGGCGGCCGAGCGCATCCACGCCGAGCGCATGGCCTCGCTCACCAACGACCCCCTGGCACGGCTGCAGATGTTCAACGTCACCCCCCACCACCACCAACACTCACACATACACTCGCATCTACACCTACACCAGCAGGACCCCTTACACCAAGGTGAGCCCC